AAGTTTAGGGAGATAGTTTCACTGGTGTTTATGATGAGTTTATTTTCCTGGAACCATTTTACTAATGCCTCTAGGACTGTTTATGCTTCTTTTTGTAGAGTTTGTTGGGTATTTGTTTTAATAATAATGTTTGTTTCATCTACAAATAAGACCATTTTGCTCTTTTCTAGGGTCAGGGGCATGTCATTGATGTATAATAGAAATAGTATGGGCCCTAGGATTGATCCTTGTGGCATTCCGTAATTTATCATTTTAGGTTGGGGAAAATGGGTTGAAATCTTTTTATCTCTCGCATGCTTGATTGTGACTACTTGACAACCATTTGAGAGGTAATATTTATCCCATTGATGTGCAATGCATCTAATTCCCAAAGTTTCAAGTTTGGACAACAGTATGTGATGGTCAATTATGTCGAATGCCTTTGATAGGTCTAGAAACAAACCAATGGGTATTTTTTATCTAGATCAATAAGTATGTCATTTAGAAAGGTGAAGATAGCTGTGTCATTAGATCTATCATTTCTGAATCCATGTTGGGCCTCTGTCAATATGTTATTTGAATTGAGAACATTTTTGAGTCTATCATTAAAAAGCTTTTCTAGAATTTTGGAGAATCCAGATAATAATTGGTTATAATGGTGACAATAATTGGTCTGTAATTCATGAGATCGTGAGTGTTGTCTTTTTTGAATTGTGGTTTAACTTGTAATTGTAATGTTAAGTGCCTTTATTTAGTATGGGAATAAAAAACCGCATGGTTGAATTAGTTGAATTATTGAAAGTGAGCTTTCAGTTATGGATGATAGTAATTAAATTATCTATTATTAATGTGGGAATTCATTTCATCACGTTCATCTATTTTTTTGTTGTTGCAATTTCATGTGTAATATATTTGCAGTGAATAAAAGTGCAATATGGTTAAAAAAAACATGAATGTCAATAGCAGACATTTTTGATATCTCAAAGCAGTTTTTCATTTCCTTCAGTGGTTTGTTATAGCAAATGGATTTTTATATCTCTTAAATATTGATAGGTGTAAGAAATATTTATTTCTGAAGGTTCTTTGAGATATCAATATATTTCATATTAGATATTAAGATTTTGATTTATTGTTCAAATTTCATAGAAGTAACTACACGAATGTTGCGAGTTTGTGACGGTTTGATATTATTCATAAAATCAATGTTTGTCAAATCTTATTTCTTCGAGAATTTTTATCTTCACTTACGGAGTACATGAACTTGACGTTGGCGGTGGAGCTAGAGTACCCCCGTGATCCGGAGAGCTATGCCGGCGGTAGCGTAGCTACTGGAAGGGCCTCCCTTGTCGGACTGGTCAAAAAGGAGAGGTCAGACGAAGAAGTACTCCATAAGAGGGCGGGGGCGCAAGAAGAGAACATCCGGTACAGTGCGCTGAAGAGGATCTCAAAACGACGAAGAGTTAGGCAGAAATGCAAGCCTATATTTCTACCGAGGGGTGAAGGGAACGGGTATGATCTCGCCAACGGAACAAGAAGATTCCAAAAGAGGCCTGGGTAGGAGGAGCTCAAAAGCTCGGTGAAGCCATCCTCCTACGGGAGTAAACCCTAAAAAAATCCTGATCCTCCTAGTAGGGGGTTGGGACCGCGGGCTCCTCGTCGTTCATGTAAAATGTAAGAAATGCTAAAAGGCCTAATCATGAGAAAACGGACTGTAACCGGAGTCGAACTAGGCAAAGGAAATGGATAATGAATATTGGAACATGGAATACTCAAGGGTTGAGAATTAAAATACAGGAGGTAATTAAGGAACTTCAATATTTACATATTGATATGGCAAGTTTAAGCGAGAGAAAGAAAAAGGGCTCGGATGTAGACGAGATTGGATCCTATGTTCATATTTGGAGCGGAGTACCAAAAGATCAGAGGGGTAGTAAAAGGATTTCCATTGTCATAAAAAATAAATTAAGAAACCATATTAAAAGTTGGGAAGTCATAGACAAGAGGCTAATTAAAGTAAATTTGAAAGTTTTAGATACAAAATGACGATTATTGGAGTGTATGTGCCAAATGAAAATGATACTAATATTTTGGAGGAATTTTACTCAAAAATAGACGGAGTAATCAGTGAATGTGGGCTAAATAGAGAACCTATCTTATTTTAATGCTGGAGTGGGAAAATCTGAGAGCTCAAACGTCATTGGACAACATGAAGAAGAGGTGGAAAATTCAAATGGACGAAGATTACTTCAAATATGTAAACAGCATGAACTTATAATTAGAAACGTCCAGCATAAAGACAAGCATATGTTCACTTGGGATGATAAGGTAAGAGGAAGGAGATCAGTGATCTATTACGTAATCACTAGACAGTATTTAATGAGTGAAGTAATAGATTTCAGGGCACACAGAGGCACAGAATGTAGACTCAACCTAGTGAAGGCCAAAATAATGTTTCCACCCATAAAACAAAAAGAAACGGAGATCAAAGAACGAAAGAAAGACAAAAATGAAAATAGCGAAGGTAGGAAATTTAATACACCGGGCCTATCACAACCAAGTATAAGACATTTATTTCAAAACAGATTGGATAATTTACTGAATGAAAACTTAGTTGGATCAAATGAGGAGACATATGAACACCTCAAAGATTGTCTACATCAAGTGGCTAAAGAAGCGCTTGGTGAAATACCTTTAAATAAGAAAAGGAGAGGGAAGAGCTATTGGATTACTCAAGACCTGAAGCGGGAAATCGAGAAGAAGATACTATGAAAAATAGTTGAGTACCAAGAAAGAAGAAAATAGAGAAGAATATAAAATCCAACGAAATAATGTTGGAAACATCATAAGAAAAGAAAAACAACAATCATGGGAGGGTAAATGTCAAGAAGTAGAAGCGTACATAGGTGGAACAAATGAGTTGAACAAGTGAGATTTGGACGTTCATAAAAGTGGTAAAATCTTCCCAAATTGAAAAAGTCCGCATACAAAGTATATTTGCAAGCAAATGGGAAGAGTACTTTAGGAAATTATTAAATTGAGGAATATCAAACATTCTTTGAAGTACAGAAAGGGAAAAGATATCTCCGGCAAGGGAAATTACAATAACCGAAGAAAGAGTTAAGAGATGTATCAAAGAAATGAAAGGCGGTAAAGCTCCGGGTCCAGGAGCGAACTGATAAAAAACGGAACACCAATGATGACGATGCTAATTAAAATGTTTATAAATAAAGGCCATATAACAGAAGTCTGGAAAATGGCTTATATAACACCAATATATAAGAAAGGAAGGAAAGACATATGTGAAAATTATATAGGGGTAGCAGTGACAAACACGTTCAGTAAGGTATATAGAAGAATATTAAGAGAATTAATAGAAGATGGATACAAGGAGTTCGAAGAAGAAGAACAAAGTGGTTTTTACGGCGGGTCGGTCTTGTTTAGATAACCTGCTTTGTCTGTCCCAGGTTATGCGAAAGAAATGGCAAACAGGAAGAGAACTTCACATGGTCTTCCTTTATATAGCAAATGCGTATGATAGTGTGCCAGTAATAAAATTATGGGAAGTTATGAATAAAAGTAGTGTAAATAAAATCTTAAAAAATGCGGTGAAGAAATTGTATATAGATCAAAAGGGAAAAGGGAAAGTTGGAAAACAGATGACCCAAACATTTCCTATATCAAAAGGACTACGGCAAGGATGCTTTTTGTCACCTACTCCCTTTAAAATGTATGTTAATGCGGTGTTACAGGTATGGAAAAGAAAATGTGCTGGGATGGGAATACCACTTGATTGAAATACAACTCTCTATACCCTACAATTCGCTGATGATGGCGCAAGAACAAAAAGATATTGAATATATGACTAGGAAGATTATTAGAAATGGGAACCAAGCATCAACCTAGAAAAAGCAATACACTGGGCTCTAGGCAGTACACATGACGTATTGAGTATGGAAACCGGAGAAATCATAAGAACAACAGAGAACATAAAGTACTTGGAAACAACAATAAGAAAACAGGGTTTTTATGGAAAGGAATGAGAAACCCGATTCATTGAAGGAAGAAAAATTTTAGGAGCCCTGATCCAAATATAAGCAAAAAAACAAAATTAAAATATATAAATGTATGATTGAAAGTGTTACATTGTATGGGACAGAAATATGGCAGCTTCCAGAACAACAGAAAAGAAAATTGAGAGCTTTGGAAATGGATTTCCTCAGAAGAGCTGCAGCAATATCTAAGAAAGGAGAAAACATGGCAGACCAAGACCAGGCTGGAACGACCAGTTCAGAAAGATAATCGAGAAGTGGAAATTACTTCCTGATTCCTGGAAGAATAGGGAAGACTGGAGAAGAAGATTAGGCACCGGAAGACCGAAGTAGCGGTCAAGAAAACGGCATGAAGAAGAAGAGAATTTTTATTGACTCTCTTCAAAGAAAATAATTTACCATGCGGCGGCGATGGTATGGCGGTTAGCGTACCGGACTTCGCGGGTTCAAACCCGATCGAAACCGTGGATTTTTAGGGCGACAAAAGCCTTCGTATGCCTTCCTTCGGAGGGGAAGTAAAGCCGGCTGTCCCATGTTGGTAGATTTACTTGCATGTAAAAGATCCTCAAGCCTAAATGACGCCTCTGAGCAAAATTCAAAATCGCCTGTTTCTCGCCCAAGAAATACCTCCTTTCTCTGTTAGTTGATGAAAGAAGTGTAGCGAAATTTGCGTGGTCAGACGGAGGAGCGGGCCTGATGGCTCGAGTCTCGCCACGTAAAATAAGGCAAATTCAATTCAATACCATTGTTTTTCTGATTTAATTTTAATAAATCTTTATCTCTATTTTACCGGGTTGTTTCCATCCTAAGTCGCCTCCATATCACGTTTCCTATTTCCTATAAAGCACGTCTACATTTTCTACAGAATTCTAAAATAAATTGTAAATTACGCCAAAAGGATTTTAAACTATCCCACCAATAGTTAACGCATCTATTTGGACGAGTGTATCTTTCATCATCGCTCCCACCAACGCTAGTTTAGTGAGGTCGCCGTCCGTTGGAGCGCAGCACTGAGGCAGGGCGTGCCAGGGGCGTGCACTGCACGCACAACCTCCCTAAATAAGTAAATAATGGCAATAGGGCTAGCAGTAACGCATTATTTGACTTTAATTCTTGGTATTGGAGCTTCTGATTAGCTAACAATATCGCCATCGGTCGCCATCTCCTTCCAGCAAGTGACCTTGGAACTCTGTTAAATTGTGTGTAAATATTATTGTTTTATTTCCAATGTGCGCCTCACGCTACGCATGATAACGCAGCACGATCGCCCCATCACCGCCCAACACTCTGCGAAAGAATATAACCAACTTGACGTATCGTGATATAGACGATCAAAGTTTTAATTGCAGACAAAAAAGGAAGCGACGGAGGCAAAGTTTTAGATTCCCGTTAAGCTAATTGCGTGAATTTTGCCTATGTACTTTGAAGTTTCATATAAAATTGTTATAAAATGATTTGTACCCAACGATGATAAAACAATAATTGTCAGCGAGAAATCATGGTGTTCATTGGCAAAATAGTGAATGCAGTTAAGGTAATAAAGGTAGAATGTGTGATAATTATTCGCTATTGTTTGACATTGCTCCCCCCATAATTTCAATGTTGAAATTTTCTTATAGCAAGGATCCAAAAGGGGTCTGAAAAGGACCTTCATTGATTCATTGCGATTGCACGTAAGAGGAGGTACAGGAGGAAATGGGTTGCCAAAGTATGGTGGAATTGGTGGGAAAGGAGGAGATGTTTTCTTGGTTGCTGAAAAAGGTATTCTTCAACATGTCAGGTATTTTCTTTCCTGTTTAACATGGTATGTGATGTTTTGTTCATGACTTATTTCAGATACGAAATTGAAGCGAGTTTTATCAAAACTCCCAACAAAACGTATTGCTGCTGGTTCTGGAGGACATAGTGAAAATAAGAAACTCTTGGGAGAACCTGGAAATGATATTGTAATTGAAGTTCCAGTTGGTGTTTCTGTGTTTGACGAGTATGGTCGAGTTATAGGTATAATACAATAATTTGAAACTTTGGTCTTATGACATGACTGTAATTTATGTAATGCATTGCTAATTTCCATGTTTAGGTGATTTGAATGAAGATCAGGCTAAAATACTAGTGGCCAAAGGTGGGCCAGGTGGATCTCCTTTGACTCAGTTCACTGGCCTCAGAGGGGAAGCAGGTACTATCATTTTGGATCTTAAATTAATTGCTGATGTGGGATTAGTGGGATTTCCCAATGCTGGAAAGTCATCCCTTCTAAAGGCAATCTCAAGAGCAAGACCTAAGGTAGCTTCATATCCTTGTGAGTACTGAATACTATTTACATTTTTCTTAGCCCGGCAGTGCATGTTGGTCTGAGAGACTCGGGAAGTCTTTACTCTAATATTGTGATTGCAATTTGGCTGCCCCCTGGCCACTGCCTCTAGGTACCTTTTCTTTAACAGATAGAGAAGTCACACCTTTTCCAAAAAATTTAGTATTTTTATCTTTTCTAGTGGGGGGACAAACCAAATGGTTGCACAGGCCTCGGAGACCACCTGCATGCACTCATGCAACGGTCTTCATTCCATACATTATGTGGCTTAAAGTAAAATTTGTGACAAATATGCCAAAAGTTCATTTGTTTGGAACATTAACTAACACTTGCTAATGAAGAAAAGTAGTCAAATATCTAAAATATATCAAATGCAGTGAAAAGAATGTACCAGCCTGTATCAATTTTTTCAGTTTTTTTCATTTGCTTACAAACTACTAAATACTGTGATCAATTATTTAAAAATATATCTCATTATTGAAAATAAAATCCATCTTTTTTCTAGTACACTCCCTCGAACAAAATTGTAAGGGGAAATTGAAATAAGGGAACTGCCAGCAGAAGGGACTGGGAGACCAGGTGCGTGTACTGATGCTACAGAAAAAGTGTGCTGCCGGGTTAAAAATGTTTTCTTTTTGTTTTTCACAATTGTATACTGATAAATTGTGTCAAATTTGATGCAGTCACTACAATTGAGCCAAATGTAGGAGTTCTTGAGTTCAGTGACCTCAGGCAGATAACAATGGCAGATCTTCCTGGACTTATTGAAGGAGCTCATGCAAATGTAGGACTGGGTCATAAATTCTTAAAACATGCTGAAAGAACAAAATTGATCCTGATGGTAGTGGATGTCAATGGTTTTCAGCTTAATTACCGTCATCCAAAACGTTCTGCTCTTGAAACAGTAGTGCTTTTGAATAAGGTAAATTTAAGATAATTTTACTAAACAACATATCTTGACTGTGACTGAAATTGACTTTCTCACTTTAAACAATCACATTCTTTAGTCTTTTAGAGTTTTTTCTCGTTCTCTATAAATTCTGTGAAATAGCATGTGAACATTGGTAAAGGCTGTGCCTTGTGTCTGGAAGGTGATGCCCAGGATTTAATGTGGAGGGTGCTTTTAAAAATGGCTTACTTTTAATTTTTGGTATCCTAGACTTTAAATAGCCCTCTCGCAAAGAAACTCACTTGCAGACTTAGCACATAGGAAGTGGTAAGTTCGTAGAGTGAGTGATCAAATTTTGTGACATATCAGATTAAGGTTAGCATAAATGCCCAACTTAAGAAAATTTCTTCAAAGTAAACCTAGACCTTGGATTGTAGTGTGAGATAATCATTATCCCTAAAAAGTGCTGAAACTGCTTGTGATGATGTTCCAACCACATAAGTAACATATGATTTTACCATGAAACAAGCTTGTAAATAAACAAGGTAATATAAAATATGAAAATGAGATCAGTAACAAAGAATCATTTTGAGGCACTAATGCCAAAAAATAGATTTTTTTATGTACAATCTAGTTCCTCTAAAATTGTAAAGCCATAGAAAGTGTTTATAATTAATTTCAAGGCTCTCAGTCAAAATATGCATTTGTCTAAAAATGCAATGCCTGCTCAGTGAATCTGTCTTATGTAGTTTGTAGGAATTAATATATAATGATCCATTTCAGCATTACTTACAAGCACTTATAATTTTCTAGGAAATGGAGTTATATCAAGAAGATCTTTTAAAAAAACCAATTATGCTTGCTGTGAATAAAATGGATGTTCCAGGAGCTGAATATAAATGGAAAGAATTAGAAGCAAGTCTGAAAGATTTTGACAGTAAGTAATTTCTTTATGATTAAAAAATCTTGTCTATATTTGAACTACCGTTCAATAAACATAAATAGAATCCATAGTCGTACTATCAAAAATTTTTGAGTTTGAGAAACTGTATAAGACATTATTTAAAACACATGTATTCATAAATGCAATAATGTGAAAAAGTATCCGCTATGTAAATATTAGCGAAGTGAGAAAGTAAAAAAAGTACATTTTTGTAAATGTAGCACTATCCCTGCCAAAATTTGAAAGAAAACATTTGGAGCCGTTTTTTAGAAAAATCTTATTTTTATTATTTTTACTTTTCCCTTTTCCATATATATAGAGTTAATATACGTAGTGTAAGGAAAGTTATGTAATGCTGCGTGGAAGAACGGTGGATTTTTGGTGGAAAAAATTCATTGCTGGGTCCTGAAAACTAAAAAGCTGATAAAACAAGTGCTATATTAAGGGGGGGGTCTCTAGTGTAGCCTGTTTGTGGGTCCTTGATACCGCAAAACCAATTGACAGCATAACGTGTCTGTCTGTCAGTCTGTGAACACCACTAACTTCTAAACCATACGTACGATTTTTTCCAAAATGGATATTCCCCGGTCGATCTGGCTCCACTTGAAGCGCTTCGATTGTGAGAACTTTTTTGACAATTTGGGAGTACTTTAAATTTTCCCGGACATTTTCAAAATTTTCTCAAACGCGGCTCCAAATTTTTTCTGTAAACTTTTGGTAAAAATGGAGTAAAATACACTTATAAAGGTGGCGTAGGTCAGATTTTCATAACGAGTTTGGGGGAGTAATTTACTACATTATCAGTTGAGGATTTTTCCACTTTTTCTGTATCAGGGCCTCACTACGCGAGTTTTTGTAACAAAAAATCGCAGATTTTTGCCGCAGAATTAAAACTTTCTACATACTATGTACATTACTCTGTATATTTGTATGTATACAAAAAATTAAAATGTTTTAAAAAATAAAAATTGTCAATATTTCATGAAAAATTACACGAAAACTACTCAAATTTTTGAAAAAATTGTATATGACCTTATTTCACAATCTGTCTTTACATAAAGTAGAAAGTAGTAAAATGACTGTATCTAGGAAACATCATTGGACAAAATTTAGAAGATCAAGAAAGAAAAATTCAAAAATATAATGGGGTAAATGGAATAATCAAGAAAAACTTAGGAAGAGATATGACAGCAGAGATAAAACAGAAAACACAACACAACATATCATCTAAGCCAATTGTATGGATCAGAAATATGGACCCTGAAACAAAGAGTCTGCCAGAGATTAGAAGTCACACAAATGACATTTTTATGGCACCTGGTAGGAATTTTACGTGTAGATTGGCAAAGAAACACTGGGAAAGAAAAAAAAATCAAAGCAAAAAATATAGTAAATGATATTAAAGAGAACCAGAGGAGATGGCTTTCACATGTGGAAAGATTCCCATAAGCAGTTTTAATGTATAAACCCATAGGGCGAAAAAATATAGGAAGACTCAACAAAAGATGGATTGCTCAGGAACATCTGGAGGAATAATCATCAGATCTGTCATTTCACAGGAGCAGGTACCAGACCTACTATCCTGCTTTTCATTGTGGTGATGAACAGACTGAACTGAACAGATTCTAATAAGGAAAAAAATCCTTTCTTTTATAGTTGTAGGAAAATGCCCCCAAAAAATTTGAATTTTTTGCAATTCTCTAAAAATGAGGCAATTTAACGTTAATGAGGCTTGCTTCATTCTCTTAAGTGTCCTCTTCACTATCCAGCAACTAAATTTAATCAAAAAACTTTGGTGCATTTTTTTTTTTTTTTTTAAATTTTGAAAATGCCCCAAGGACATCTTGTAAAGTACTCCCCAAAATTAAGATAACGGTTTCAAATGGAAGAGGCCACAACATCCATCATATCGATTGGGAAAATTAATTCCGGAGAAAATCGGCTGAACGTTTTAGGCGCAAGCGTCGACCATACGGGCCCCTTCGTAAGTCGCGACGGCGGCGAGCTTCCGTCAAGCAGCAGAGCCCCTCCGACGCCGCCACCGCCGCCCGCCGAGGAAAGGGGTGGGGTCTGGAGTGGTAGGTTTCACCGACCCTCCGACGACGTCGAACAAAGGGACCGCATCAGGTAAAATGCAGCGACCGGCGGCATAGTGGGAAGGCTACCATTTAAAGCTGTGCTCTGCTCGCGGTGGCGCGTACGCCCTCCTCCGCTTCGCGTAGCGAGAGTTCTCTGCTTGCCGCAGCAGCGCACGCCCGCTGCACGTGGGAAGGCCTCCATTCATACCAATGCTCTGCTACGAGCCGCGACGCTCGGAAGCGCACTGCCGTCGCGGCGTAGGAAGGGGCCCTAAGTGGACAGACAGGCGTTTCGATTTCGTTCATTCGTTTAATTGATTTTTCAGTATCAAGGAGTCACAAAACATGGATTCTGTCTACACGAAGTGTTATATAATGTGTTTTACTACTTAAAAAGCGGGGAACAAGATTCACCCGCTTTTACGTCACCAGGACCCGGCAATAAAAGTTTTTCTGTCGAAAATTCTCCCATTTCCCCCGCAGCCATACAGTACTTTCTCTATGCTGCGCAAGCAGAAACGAGAAAGTAAGTCTTACATTCATAATGACCAAATAGTAAATTTTAAATATGACGGGATGAGACAAATGACCACTTTGTTTCTGCACCACATGGGGCCCCTTGTCTGTCGTTGCTGAGACTTTTAGAAAGTAATTTGCGTCCCTTCTTTTGTAAAAATACTAATAAATCACAACAATGAATGTCTACAATCATACTGTGAACTTCAAATGCTTATGAAAAATAAAGAATGTAGAATGTAAATAGCAGAAAAGTACTCGACACTGGTTGGTAACAAGGCAGAAAGTTTGAGTGATATTTTAGCAATTTTTGTATGGAAGTGAAAACTTACTTCCATACAAACTTCTTACTTACTACAACATGCTTCCATGTAAAGTACATGGGCACATATAAAGTAGTAAACATACTACTTTACATGTGCCCCAACCAATGTTTGCCATCTTCATTGTAAATTTCAAAATATATTTATATTTCATTACATCATTTTTTCTTTCCCCTTATACATACGTATATACGGAGTATAGGGAAAGTTACGTAATGCTGCCGAAAATGGATTTTGATTTCAACCGAAATACACCTTTGGGGGTCCCCTGAAACCGAAAAAAAAGTTTGTTTTTTTCTAATTGTCCGTCTGGTATCTGAAGAAACTACTAGCGCCTAAACCATGCGTAGGATTTTTTCCAAATTTAATAAACCACTGCCCATCTGGTTAGATTGGAAACTTTCAGATTTTGAAAAACATTCATCAAAATTTGGGGGTACTTTACATGAAGTTCTCTGGACATTTTCAAAATTTTCTCAAAAACGGTTCCAAATTTTCTTTAAATTTCTTGTAAGAACAGAGTAACACACTAATAAAAGTGGCATAGACCCAACTCTAAATTTATAAAAATTGCTGAAGTATGATTTTTTCGGTGTCTTCCTACAACTACACATTTAAATATAGAGTTTTTTTCTTCAAATAAAATTTGATCTCCATAGTAAGTTCTTTCATTAAGGTCATGTACATTTTTTTGAAAATTTTAGTCGTTTTCGTGCAATATTGCCGAATGTGCAGTTTTAAAAATTAAAAAACAAAATTTTCTCAAAAATGGCTCGAAATTGTTTCTTTAAACTTTTGGTAGGGATAGTGCTAAATGTGCTCTATAAGATGACATAAACACCATATTGCTCTATGCTGTTGTTTTTTCAAAAATTACAAAAATGTAATTTTTTTATGCCTCTCTTCTTAATATTTATATTAGCGGCATTTTCTTCACATTAACTTTAAATAATGTCATAATGTTTCTCGAAAAGTGTAGTTTTCTGTGAAAATATGCCCAAAATTTCGCATTTTCAGAAACGCTCAGACGCCGATTTCTCAAAAACGGCTCCAAATTTTTTCTTCAAACATTTCCTACGGATAGTCGTAATTGCTCTTTAATTTTGAAGTATTATTTGTTTTTTCAAAAATTACATAAAGGTAAATTTTGTGATAGATATCTCACGCCGTTGATATGCACATTTCCAGCAATTTGTAAATACATTCAAATGATTTCAAATTAAGTTATTTGAAAACTCAAACAAATTTTAATGCAAAGAGCTTCAAATTTCGAATACTGTTACTTTTTTTGGTAAAAACTGCTCCAAATGTTTCAAAGAAAATTGCCATTTAGGACCAGGTTTTACTGTGTTTTAATAGTCTTAAAATAATATTTCCGCTCTACAATTAGAAAACCAAATAATTAAGAAAATGTCAAAAACATGTACTTCGGGCAGCAATAGATGGCAGCAGGTAAAGAATATGTGGCATATACGAAGAGCTGAGAACAAAACAAAAAAAACTAATATGGGAAAGCTTGTGCCATTGTGTAGCACCACTAGTTATCAAGATTTAACTCGATGGAAATAGAATATGTAATCAGGAAAACAAAAGGGACCTGACCCCTTGTTAAATTTTTAAGGGGCTCATGTCCCTGTGCTCAGACCTACGTACATTACATATTGCAATAAACTAATTCTTTTGAGAGAAAAAACAAAAATTTTGGAGCTGTTTTTTTGTCTCCTGACAATATTTTAAATCCTCCTGTTTTTCTTGGTGACCTGAAGGTATCTGTGCATAATTTGGAACCAATCACTCCAGTCACTCAACAGTGTTTCTAGAACTTAAATAGGTTTGAGAAAATTGCTTAAGCTTCTTTGATACTTTGGGCACTTACTTTAAATACTGTATTGCACACCAAGAAGTGCTGTTGGTGCACAACAGTACAGAACAGCAAAGGGGGTGAGTTGCACACATTTCTCTGATCATGTTTGTTTTGAATCTGATTTGTCACCACGAATCAGTTCCTTACATACTGAATACATGAGAAGGAAAACTAAAGAAGAAAGGTTTATGCAACTAGTAATTATTTTCATTACTGAGTGATTTGAAATCTATGCGTTGTACTTTTTGTTTAAATATTTTGTCTGTAAAATTAATTAAAGCAATGGTTTCCAAATAGGATCTGGATGCGGATTAAAAAGCCAAATATTGTGATCATTGCCAAATGATATGAACATTTATGGTTTTGTTATTTGGAAGATATTTTTTAAAAGTGTAGCTTCATACAGTATATTTATAATTTAATATAGGTCTACCTTTAAGCCAAATACAAAAAAGAACAGCTATGTATATTTGTAAGTACAATTACTGTAATGAGACACATTTATTTCAGATGCAGTGGCCAATTTTCCTGAAGAACTTCGCCCTCTACAAGCAATAAAATTTCAAGACATTATGAGTTTGTCTGTGCAATCGTGTCAAAAAAGTGTTCTCAATTTAAAAGAGAAAATACGATGTGTGTTAGATTCTGAAGCTGATAAAGCAACAGAAGAAGAAGAATTAAAGTTTCGTAATCGTTTAAAGTTGAAAATGGTGGAATCGGGTCCAAAACTCTCTTAAACAAAATGATTTTATTTTATTATAGAGTAATTTATATAATTTATTGTTTTTCTTTCACCACTATTATATTAATTTTGTAGAGTTTAATAATAAAATTCTTATCTTCTGATAAAAAATTGTTTTTATTGAGCATACAGATGCTTTTTTTGACAAATTTAACATTAATCAAGTAGCATGTAGCAGTAAACAAACCATCTATCGGGCAGCACTTCAAAACCAACGAAACCATTTCTAATTGCACTCAAGCTCAGTTTGACCAACTCTGCCCAACATCTGCATTCTTGAAGTACATCTATAGTTTCTCTGTTTCATGGGAGATGGGCCATATTGGTTTGGAGAATCTGTCCATCACCAAGAATGGGAGAGACTAGATTTGGGAAGGATCGTGTGTGGTCCACAGCTAGTTGTCAAAATGCCAACTTCAGCCTATGATTGACTTCAATCATATTGTGCGATTATTCCATTACTCCATAGTATCATTGATGGTGTTACAAAATTGATATTTCCATGAGTTATGAAAGATACATTACATGAGACAATTTTTTTTTCGTGATAGTTTTGTTAAAAATAAATCTAATGAGACTTTGCAGCCTTCTAGATGCTATATATTCTCTCAGATGTTCATCCCATTACTGAAATTATAAATAGAGTAGCTAGCTAATCATCACTGTATAATATTGTGTGTGTGTGTGTTATCGTCCATAACGAAATATAATTTTTTTTATTGAGGCCTTGCAAAGCAGAAGGGACAAAGTACAAAATTTTCGAAATTATTTTATATATAAATATTAAGTTCCTGGCCATATTAGATGCGCTCTCAACATTTTGTTGAAAATTAAGTTCAGAAGGCTTTCCCTGAAATAAACTACATCTGACATTGTGCAAATCAATAAATGAAAATTAATTTTCTTTTCGTAAGAATTAAAATAGTCATAACGTGTCAATGTTGTGATACCTTATTGTTGCGTAAATACACAAACTACTAGAGCTCTGTGCAACAGGAGGTAATGAGAGTGGTGTGTTGTTTCTTTATAATAGTTTCATTTCCATTTATTAGTTTGTGAAAAATGTAATTGTAGCTATGTTTATTTAAAAACTAAAGAGTTCTTATACACGAAACATTGAGAGTTTAAAAAAAAATAAAGAAGTACACATCTTGGAAGATCGCCAAAGTAAGAGCATTAGTTGACAAAATTATTCAAATCATGAGATAAAAAATAAAAAACACTTCCTTAAGAAAATAATTCAAGTGTGGTACAATCGTGCACTAATAGCATGCCAAAGAGAATTGCAGCTCTAATAGCTGTCTGACAAAGTGTTACGTCAGAATGTGTAAGGAGATTTGTTTTCAGAAATGGTTTCCCAACCACATTATACCAACTGTCACCATTTTGCATATGATTATTTTTTATTGTAAACATTCAGTTACTTCATATTTCTTTAGAAATACAGAAATGAACATTTTATCACAAAAACTTGATTTTTGTATTATACATATTTCCTCCATTATTAACACAAGTACCTGAAATGCAAGATAATTAAAAGAGATGCTTTCACAGACAAGTGAAAAGCACACTACGCATAGCCAGATTTGCTCTAATAAGATAATTGAAGAATCTCATTCTTTATTTCTCATTTCATATTTTCGTTAGGCAGATACATAAATATTACAAAAAATCTTTCTTTTTTATAAGTATTTTATTGCTAAAAGTGTTTCACACACACAAAATATTATTCAATAACATACCATTAAGTATTTTCAAAAAAATTACAATTAATATTTGGGTGCATTATGTGGATAGAACATTAAAAACATTTAATGATATGTTTCAGGATATTAAGAACACGTCACACCCCCAGTCAATTTTGAACATAAAACCCAAAGAATATATTTTTAAGTTTTTGGATGGATTTAATTGTGACTTACTCCTTAAAAAGTTCCACAACTCAATTTGCATGGATAGCTGATTTACTACCTTCAAGTCAGTCTTATTCTCAGTCTCAAATCGCATCTTCAAATTCTCTAATACTTCTAAAAACAGCAATTAACTAGGAGTGTGACTTACTGGTGTAAACAAAGCACTAGTGGTCATTATAAATTTATCCACATTCAGTTCCACAATAACTTTTATATAACAAATTCCCACTTTTGTTCAAAATATGTCTTCAGATTGATTCTTTAGAAGCTCTAACTTCAGATATTAGATTATAAGATCTTTACTTGATTTATGCATTACATATAAAAACTATATATCACTTAAAAATTAACAAAATTAGATGTGCGTATTTCATATTTCTATAATTCTTTTGGGTTAAACAATATGCTTTACACACTGTATGATATATACAAACATTTGTTGTCATCAAACCATGTAACTTTTTCAATAAAATATTAATTATTAAGATTTATTAAATTAAAATTTCCCTGAAAGGGAACTAAATGCCATTTGCATATCAATTGTTATTCAAGACTATTGCTTTAGAGTATCACAATCAACATCATAAAGTAAGCAATTGCTTTTTTTTTCTTAAAAAAATAAATATAAACTCTTTGGAAGTAAACCATTCACTAGTATTTGCTTGGCTTGTTATCACAGTAAATATTTTCTGAAACCTTTTGAAATTTTATTAGCTATAGAGAAGCAGCTACAGCAATATAAGCAGAGAGCTTGTCTTCTTCAAAATTGCATTGTATAACTACGAGCTTTTCATCAATGTTAACAAATATATTAGAACCATCATGGTCAATATTGCAGTCAGTTGGCCACAGCTCTGTACATAAACTCTGCCGACACACATCCAAAATTTCTTCTTCAGAAAGTAAATTCAGTTCACCTTTAACCCAGAAAGACCTATTAATTACAAGTGGGTGTTGTTCTGTGTATTTTAGCTCAGTGTTTTTTTCAACCATTTCATCTGAAGATTCTGCAAAATAATCTTTACGAAATTCTTCCACAAGAGATTCAGAAATCTCTGCATCTGCAGATAAAGTGTTTAGGATAGTGGAACAATGATTCTTTGAAACCTCTCTGGAAGCTTCGTTCCAAATACGTTCAGCTTGTGGAATAGCACCAAGTGAGTTATAATTCTTTCTCTCTATATCTCTCTCAATATCGTTTAACATATTTTGAATACTAAGGCACAGACCTTTAACAATAGTAATAATTTTTTCTGGCTGCCTCAAACCTAGTATACAGAAGATCTCTTCTGCAAAAGTTACCAATCTTAACCATACAGGTCGATCCATAATGAGCAATATCGCAGCTAACTGAGTAATTTCAAATAATCCTATGTGTCGAAATTGAGTTGGCATGGTATGTCGTTCAGATAAAACATTAAAAAGCAATTGGATGTGATTAAATATTTGCACCAATTTTGATGGATCTTTTAAAAATTCTTGCAATGCTTCTTGACAATATTTTGTAGCAGACATGTTATTAATATTTACTGTACCTTTACCTACTTTGTTATTACTTGCAATACTTCTGATCAATCCACAAACAAAGTAAGCCACTTCAACATACTGAAGTCCTGAAGTCCATCCTAAAGCCTTTAGCAGTGTGCTAGCTATTTGCAATATTCGTTCATGATCCGATTCAGCAAACTTTTTTAACATGGTCATCAACTCCATTCTTTCATAGGCATTAAGAAGAGGGTAAGAGAACTTTGATCCAATCTTTTGAACAGATTTGCCTCTTGTATTTTCAAGACCAAGCAACTCTTTCAATGATGCTATCTTTAGTAGCTGAGAGTCTTGCTGAACAAATGCTGTTGGTGACTTTCCAATGATTGATTCGGTCATTGATTTAAATTCTGCCTCAGATATCTGATTACCAGCATATTTCTTTGTAGCTTCAAGTATCTGTACTCTTTGATCTGGTGTAGCCTGCACAAGTTGGATAGGATCAATAGACAAATTTTCATTGACTGTAATTATGCCTCCCTCAGTGAATGTTGCTCTACTTTGAGTGGGACGAAATTGTTTGTCCATTCTCACTAATGCTGAGAAAAAGTCATCAACATTATTTATATGTTTCAATGACCTAATTACTTGAGCATTTCCTTCTATAGTATTTTTCTCATATTTAGTATTTCTTGCAACCTTACGAAACATTTTTCTGTGCCTATTACTTCTTAAGTTATTTTCAAATTCTTGAAGAACACCATTTTGGGTGTTTTCAATAATCGATTTCGCAGTCTGAACGTTAACTGCAGCATGAGCAAAAAGTAAGAGAGATGCTGAAAACTGAAACACGTCCAGACTTGTAAGCTGATCTTTATTCAATTTATCAATAAGTAAGTGAAAGCTGTTCAAAAGACCTAAACCATTCACTGCAACATTACCTACATTTAATGCTGTTACAGTGGCACAACCAAACCTACCCATCACTTTACCGGATTGAGCCATTTTAGCAGTGACAGTTGTAGCTGAACTCGAAGCTACTCCCATAACACTCCCACCAATTGACAGCCAACAGTTACGTGACTCCCCATCATGCAAACCTAAACTTTGTTTGTGGGTTCCTCTGTCAATCAAAGTTGACCCTGAACGCATAGTAGTATAAGCACAGATTCCTCTAGTAAGCCAGAGAGATGCTTGGAGCAGAGGGCCTGCTACTGGAACAAAAAGTGAAGCTGCAGCAATTGCAGTGGTACCAACTGCCAAACCTGCATTAGCATAATCTAAACATTGTATTACACTTTTTGACAACCTAGTTGCAGGAGACTTCCCAAACTCAATGACAACTGTACCCTCGCTGTCTGTGGTGTACCTGCCACCCAATGGATAACAATATTCACATGGAGGGAACTGGTTGTTTTCAAGAAAGTCTGTCCAACTACTGTACACTCGAGCATTAATATCAATAAATGATGAGTCAACACCACTTTTATCATTTGGTACTTTAAACACAGGCCATGATTTCAATTCTTCCTCTTTCTCAGTCCAAAACACATACACAAAAGCCATGCAAGTTTCATCTTTAGAGCATTGACCACGATTACCTTCTTCTAATATTTTTGCACAAATTTTTTGAATAATTAATTTTGTTTCTGGGTCAAGTGCATTTTCAATAGGGCCAAATAATATATATTTCACTTTTCTCTCCAAAAATTCTCTTTCAGACTTCTTGTATAATTCCCAATCATAGTCTATTACCAATTCACAAACTTCCTGTTGACGTTCTTTAGCTTGAGTTTTCCATGACATCGCTGACATCATTGTTTCCATTAAGAGGAGATCATGAGAGAAGGCAAGTTCTGAAAACATAAAGAAATATAATTTCCTATACTTTCACAAGTGTAAACAATATGAATAAGTACATTATTATTAATGATGTTATTGATTGTCTATTATAGGTTTCTATTAATCAAATTCCACTTAATTATAGACAATCAGTACATTTGAAATAAAATTAAAATTCATAAACACAGTTTATTTTACAAAGGAGTCTTGAAAATACACAATGTTTCAGAGCTCTATTGTATGTCCATCGTCAGGTAAATAGATTGTAGCTAAAATTTAAAATCAAAACGATAACAACTAACTAGTGGTGCTACAGATTGGCATGGACTTTCCCACATATTCTTGCCTGCTGCCATCTATCGCTGCCAAAGTATATTTTTTTGACATTTTCTTCATTCTTCAGTTTTCTAATTGTAGACCAGAAATGTTATTATAGGATTCTTAAAGATCAGTAAACCTCCTCCTAAATGGTAATTTTCTTTGAAAAATTTGGAGCCGATTTAAAAAACTGGTTTTTCCGCGCTATTGTAAATTCGAAATTTGAAGTAATTTCAAGTACTTTAACTCACAAATACAATAGTGTTTACACATTACTGGAAATGTACATAATAACAGCATGAGAAATCTTTCACAAAATTTACAACTGCATATTTTTTGAGGAAAAAAAAAAACAAAAAACACACACACACACACATACTGAAACAAACTTTACATCATATTAAAGAGTGCAATTACCACTATCTGTTCGAAATGTTTGAAGAAACAATTTGAAGCTCATTATGAGAAAATGGCGTTTAAGCATTTGAAAAAATGTGGAGTTTTGAGCTAGTTTTCACAAAACATGGTAAGAGTTTTCAAGAAATTTTAAATGACATGAATTAAAGCACTTGTTCTCATAAATACAATAATATGAAGAAATTTGCCGCTACATATACAATATTAACAGAGGCTTAAAAAAAATTAAATTTTTGTAATTAAAAACAACAGAATAGAGCAATATGGCGTTTATGTCATCTAATAGAGAACATTTAGCACTATCCCTACCAAAAGTTTAAAAAATCAATTTGTAGTCATTTTTGAGAAAATCTTATTTTTGTAGTTTTTTAAAACTGCACATTTGACAATATTGCACGAAAACTACTAAAAAATTTTCAAAAAATGTGGGAGACCTAAATGAAAGAAGTCACTAATAAGAAAAAAAAGTATTTGAAGGAAAAATCTCTATCTTCAATTTTGTAGTTATAGGAAGGCGCCCAAAAAAGTTTGAAAATTTCGAAAATTCTGTTTTAAATCTGAAAATTGGACCTATGTCATCTTCATAAATGCATTTTACTCTATTCTTACAAGAAATTCAAAGAAAAAAATTGGAGCTGTTGTTGAGCAAATTTTGAATAAATCCGGGGGGCTTTATGCAAAGTACCCCCAAATTTTAGAGATTTTTTCTTTATATCTCAAAGATTTGACCGGAGCCAGATTGGCAAGATTTCTTCAATTTGGAAAAAATCCTACGCATAGTTTAGGTGCAAGTAGTGTTCACAGACACCAGATGGACAGATGTTTTGAAATAAACCACTGTTTTGGTAGCAGGGAACCCCAAAACATTTCCATTGAAATCGATTTTCCGCAACATTACACAACTTTCCCTATACTGCATATAATTCTCTGAATATATGTACGTACATGGGAAAGTAAAACCTGAATGAAAATGTATATAAATAGAAAAAAATTATATCTATGTCATCATTATCAAGCATGGTTTGGTTATTAATAGGGGTCGGATTTAATTTTTTTTCTTTTCACTTTAGAATAATTCCATTTAGTTTAGAAATTAATTTTACATTATGACAAAACCAAATGACCGATTTTTACGCAATTTTTTTGCATCTTTTTTGGTTTGAACAAATAAATCATTTTTTACCTTTTTATGACATTTTTAATGCATTTTTCGCAGATTTCATTGATTTTAATATCATTTTAATGGTACTTGCTTCAAACAATTATTTACAAGATGCAACAAGTGTTTACCACAGAATTCCTGAGAAGTCTATTCAATTTCTTCACTCATATATTGTAATGTCAACCGTTGAGAGTACTATGTAATGAAAGGTTCCTGGGACGTCTGTCGGTGCCATTGTCAGTTCAGCAGATTTCGGGATAAATAAAGGCAAAGATTTCTTTAAAAAAACAGTCCAAATAAAAAATATGCAACCTGCGTTCACTTGAACAAAAGGAAGTAGCCTCAATTACATCAGTAACAGCTTCAGTAACAGTTTTTTTCTCCAACTAATTTCAAGTTTTTTGCATTAAATAAAAGATGGCGAGTCCTAGATTTGTTATTATTTACCCTTATTAACAAATATTATAGTATAAAAAATTAAATCTTAATTTCTTAAAATTAATAAAACGAGTGCTAATCTGCTGTCATTTGTCATTACATTGTTTTCCAGACCAGCTACATGGTGTAATTTGAATGTAGTTGGTCTTGGCCGTTTTGTTGTGTGTGATCTGCCACAAGCAGTCAACATGTTGCGAGGATCTAGTTAGCACAGCTAAGAAAGCTTTTCAAGTTCAAATATTAAACATTCTTAAATGCAAAGATTAGCGAGTGAATATACACGTAATGCTCAGTAATCATTTGTCACACAAGTCCCTTTACAAAGAAATGTTTATTGAGATGTATAATGTTTTACGTTCACATGGATAGCAAAATCCCCTGCTGGAGCCCATTGCAATAGGTACAAATCTTGATAAATGTATAATAGTTCTATTACATTTTAAGTATGTTTTTACTGAAAATTGAATCTACTGTTCCAGAATTTGTAGACCACCTTCATTTCATTTTTCTTGGAGAATTAAGAACTCAATGCCATAAAACAATATCTTGAAGTTTTTTAATTTCATTATGGAGCATATTAGGTGTTTTTCTATTATTACTTTATTACAGTTATTCCTTTTGTGTGATGTAAATCCAGTGGTTAAGCTTGTTTGTAATAAGTTCTACAGAGTATGAGCTAAGGCGAGCCATCAGTCAAGAATACAACATTGTTTATCTACTAACAATATTTCATTCAGTTTAAGTCGGAGCAATGTAACTGTTAACATTACCGAAGGTTAACCACTTCAACTACTTCTTTTCAACCTTGAGTAATAATAAATAAATATTTTGAATTTAAGAACTGATTGTGTTAATATCTTGAATGTAATTGTAAATGGAAAATTAAATTGTAATTCTTTTGTGTTTTCCCCTAACAACAAGAGGATTTATTTATATCTCCTCAATGCCCATTTTTGATGAGTTAATATTTGTAATCATTATACAGACCACTCAAAAAATTAAGCAAAAAAAAAACTTTTTTCATAAAACCATTTTGTTACTACCCCTTTACCCGTTTCAGAGGTGATTTAATGGTTTTGTTGATATAGTAATGTAAAAAATGATACGTTGCAGTTCACAGCAAACTTCACTTGATATACTAGGTCTGAACTTCACACTCCTTTTTTGTTTTAGTACTCAAACAATCTTGATAACAAAGCCAGATTTTTCAAACTAACATAACCTATACTTTCCTAAAATCGATGTTTATTTGGAAATAATGAAATCAGGCAGGCAATTTAATTTCACCACGATTCTCCACCACAGCAAAAAATACTATTAGACTATTTTAATTCCTGAACAATTTTTATACATACATATTTTTATACACACAATTTTTATAACATATAGGCCTACTTACATTTCTTATAAACAATCATGCACATCGGTTAACGGCAGTAAAAACAGAATCAACTTTCTCAGTACCAAAATTGATCACAAGAACAACCTAGAAGTACCCCACGTACTCTCCGGGAGTAATTGAATGAGTTATTTTCTTATTAGCCCCACCCACCCAACATTACAGATAATGGCCGATTTAAATGTAGTGGCTATAATGATTGTGTATCCGATTGGATAATCGCGTCTGAATTGATGTTATAAGTCACTACATTTCAATGGGACAAAACTGATTGACACTCACGTGCAGGGCCCTATAACTCCCATATAACGTGGTGGGGACATTACGGTGGCGCGCTCTGCTGCATCACCTGTGCATCACCTTCTTTACACGAACTAAAACAGGAACTGCTGCCAACGATTCTTTAAACGTGCGTGACTGCTACGTGAGTTCGCGGGTCGCAAGCAGGACCATAATGGTACAAAAGATAACGTCTACGTTCGCGCTTTCTTCAGAGGTTTCTTACAAGTAGTGATTATGAATAATTGTACATTTAGAAGACACTTTTCGTATTTGTCACAAATTAGCCAATTTGTAAGTGGGAAAGTTGGCGAGCCTAACCTGCAGCTGCACCCGGCGACACTAGCGCTTCCTATAGTAGCAACCTCGAGCTTTGTCCCCGATTTTGATGGAGAGTTGCCGGGCCCTGCTCACGTGACCACTGCCGTATACTCTTTGTCTCTTTGAAAGAAAAAAAAGAAAGAACCGTGTTGCCAAGAGTTTCTAAGAGCTATGGAACCAGTGAGCTCACAGAGCACCCACACACATTTTTAATAGAGCGATCACTCCAGGATTACTCCCATGTTAAGAGTGGTTAAGAGTGAAGATGAGTACCAAACAATGACCACGATCACCGGGCGCGCTACCATCGACTAGAAAAGCTTCTCCCCATTCCTGTACTTCTCCACTCAACTTGTGTGTGCTAATCACGCTTACTGTCAACTCGTAAGCGAAAGTTCAAAATTTATTTATTTTTAAATTGGAAAAAATTATTTCAAAATACATTAATGTAAAACTTAATTACTTCCCATTACAATAACAATATTCATCACACAACGATGCAACAGATGAAATGAACGTTCGTAAAGTAACACCATTAATTGAATTTCACGTGAACAATCAATTCAATCATAATTCATTCTAGTTTTCTCAAACGCTTATACACATTACTGGTTCATTTTTTTTAAAAAAAATCTTATAGCTGAAGTGTAGTATACGGTGTAACCTAAGGAAGTCGTTTAAACCGTATATACATATAAAGCAAAGCGTGAGCGATTTAAATACATTGTAAAATATACACTTCTGAAATAATTTTAATGGTTCCTAATTGGCCACAAACGTGACGTCAAAAGGTAGGGATGAGGAAATTTCACCCACAGAAAATTCATCTTGTCGAAACTTCATTACCGTTCATAACGAAATGGTGTGTGATGGCACGTCAATCGTGTTTTTGTCTATGTGATTTTCTGTCGGGGTAGCTGTCGAAGTGGTTGGCTACGTTGCTGTCGTACAGTTAAGTTTCTTGCGTTCTTCATATTCTTTGTGATTTGTGTTTTTGAGTGTCGAGTGTGTGCTACGATTGTGAGAATAAATGTGAGTTTTGTTTTGAGCATTGCGCCAAAGGAGGTGTTTGGCTGTCATTGAATGGGCGCAAGAACGTAGTTTGTTTGCTGCAGGATTTAAATGTTCTGTGTATAAGTGACCTGTAAGGTTGACCAAGCAAAAGAAGTTATGTTGGAATGGTTTCGAGTTGAAGTGTAGCAAGAAATGAGCCACTCCTCATGTGCGTAAGTGTTCCGTGCGGAAAGGGCCATGGTTTGCGGGAAGCAAGTTGAGTATAATTCTGGTATTAGTAATGACGTAATTTTGGGTTATAAAACCGTCAGTCAAACCTCCATAAAAATCGCCTGTCGGTAAATTTCATACATTAGTCTGAGCGCTTAGCGTAATTTGAGGGAGGGCTAGAGGAGACCCCTCCTCCTCATTCCCCCTCCCCTCCTCGCCGCCACGCTTCTCTAAAGGCGGCTACACACATTCAAGCATGCGTGCACAATCATAATTGTGCAAGCATGCAACAATTTTCATCGCCTCTACACGGTACAAGCAAGCTTGCACAAGCGTCAGTTTGTTTGAAAATGTCGAGCACGGAGGACGAAGATGCACTCGCTTTGGCTGGTTTTGTTCTTCTTTGAAAGGAAAAAAAAACTCAGAAGAAGAAACGTGCATTGTGAAGCAAATGTTGGTTAATGAAAAGAAAAACCTTTTCACATACCAACTTATTGAGTGAAATAAAGATATATCCACGGGATTGGCATAATTATCTAAGAATGGATGAAGAAACTTACCTTCACCTTCTGTCACTCGTGACACCTTTAATTAAAAAGGATACAATTATGTGAGAAGCTATAACGCCACATGAAAGATTAACGGCCACATTACGATTGCTCGCTACCGGAAGAAGTTACGATGATATAAAGTATTCAACTATAATTTCACCACAGGCACTGAGTTATTTAATTCCTGAAACCTGTCATGCTATTTACGAGGTGCTGAAGAGAAATTAAAGGTAAGTGAAATACATATTAATAATAATTATCCGTTTATTAAAGATTTTTATGTATCACTGAAATTGGGAACATATGAAGTGAGTGACTGATTGGAATTTTCGCTATTTGTTGCCGCTCCGCTTAAAGTTTCCGGATAAAGACCTTGATAGCAATATGATCCTGCCTGAGGGTACTCGTCATTATTAATTACATGTTCATTATTGGTTACAATAGAGCTACGAATGGAATGCGATAAAGGCAATTGACCCTTTTCAGCCATGAATAAGGCGTCGTTAATTATTTTCTCAGCTAACAATCTTTGGGTATTATTGGATATGTCCTTCATCTTCACACCTACATTTTTACCAAAAATATCATGTCTGTCATCTTTCAGCTTCGGCTTCTTAAAATGGTCATCAATTGAATTTAGTACACTATCCAATTTATCGTTACTTCGTTTAGAGGATCTAGTAGAAGATGTCTTTTTTGTAGATGTTGACTTATTATAAGAGACGGATGTATCATGTTTTGAATGAGAACTTTGTGAAGGTTCTTGTTCCTCGACAGATTCTTCCAGGAGTTCACCCGAGTTTTCGATCAGTAGATGAAATTCATCTTCCTGAATAATTACATTATGTATTTGTAACAAATATGTACATACTTGTTATGCATAATTTCATTTATAACTTTTGTGATGTAATGTTTATATATTTTACAGGTCCCAAAAACTGAACATCATTGGATGACAGTAGCCCAAGATTTCGAAAAGAGGTGGAATTTCCCTCATTGCCTGGGATGCCTGGATGGAAAACATATCGAAATAATTCCTCCAGCTGGAAGTGGTTCCTTGTTTTTAATTACAACATGGGAACAGTATGGTTTTACTTGTCATTGCAGATGCAAATTATAGATTTATTTTGTTTGATTTCGGTACAATGGCAGAATCTCAGATGGAGGTGTCCTTCAGAATACGGAATTTTTTAGACGACTAGAGGAAAATTCACTAAACATTCCAAAAAGTAAAGAAATCACGAAATACTATCTCGAACGCCATATGAGAAATCACGAACTGCCATATGTTTTCATTGCAGACGATGCTTTTCCTTTAAGGAGTGATATGATAAAACCGTTCAGACAAGGTGATTTAAACTGTACTGAAAAGAAAATTTACAACTACCGGTTATCAAGAGCAAGAAGAATTATTGAGAAGGTTTTTGGAATATTGGCGACACAGTTTATAATTTTTCACACCGCTATCAATTTAGAACTAGATCATATTGATAAAGTAGTAAAAGCTACGTGTGATTTACATAATTATTTAATGTCGATTGTGGTTTCAACTGACGCCCCACCTGATTCTGTTGACTTTGATGACTTAGAAAATGGCACAACCCATGTTGGTTTACATTCAGAGAATTCCAATATGTTACTTTTAGAATTATCATATATCGCTCGAAACTCACAACTTGATGCTAAAAAAGTAAGACAAGAATTCGTGAATTACTTCTCCAATGAAGGACAAACCTTGGCAACTAAAATTTATTAATTGAAAATGAAAAAGTGTGAACCTGTTGATGTTTTATTGAATGTATTTTTATAGTTAAAATATGTGTGTGAATCTTATAAGTGTATATAGCAAAAAATAAAACTTATCTCTATTTCTAAATTTGATAAAGAGCCCCTTGGAGTTTCCTGATCATCCAAAAAGGCAAACAAGTGGTAGTACCAAAGTGAAGACTCTTATACTTCGTCTGTACCAATGCCAGTGTCGAGATTTGTCGACTTTCTTCTTTTCTCTCGTATAATTTTATTATTCAAGGCATTTATCTTATTTAATATCACATTCTTGTCAGCATTAGGATCTATAAGTTTATATTGCTGTAGTAATAAATCGTTTGGCTTTATCGTGATAATCTTTTGATTTTACACGCCACAGACATGAATTATTTTCGTAAACACGAATTAAGTCTTCTAATAAACTTTTTGATTCACTACAAACGTTTTTTTCATCATGGTGATGGAAATAAAATTTTATCACGTTTAAAAACCGTACACTTTACAACTCCAGACGATCAACTGACACTCGATTGCACACGCTTGCATCACCTTGGTACACACGTCCAATCCATCACATGCAGGAAGAGCTTGTACAAGCATGCATCATGATATTTCCATCAATCTTCAAGCCGCTTATACAATCAAAATGCTTGAACAATCCTGTCGTACAGAGATTCAAGCATTCTTGCACAATCGTGATTGGGCAAGCATGCTTGAACGTGTGTAGCCGCCTTAAGGGTGTACCGTGTACTCAACTTTAACCTATTAAATATTATGAGCTTAGAAACATCTATACAGAATCAATACAGACACAGTAGCAATAACTGGGCAGTTAACTAAGCAAACTCTCAGTGGCCGTATATGAAACACTAAGCAAGTCTTTAAAACTACGAATACTCTTCTCGAGTACTATTCTGAAAACTCTCTGAAGAAAAGATCTAAAATCTAAGATCAATGATAAACAAAAAAACATTAAGGATTCAAAATGAAATTGAAATGACAGGTTGAGAATGAACGTTGCCCAGCATTTTTTTACCGAATTAATAATTGTTCAATTTTAGGATTTAATACACCACAATAGCGTTTTGCATTCAAATATATTTACATATCAAAACATTAAATAAAATGTGTACATTATTCAGCAATTAAGGAAATGGACATAACAAAAAAACTAGATGTGCTTCAAATTACTACAGAACAGAGGCATTATTGA